CATGGCCCACTAAGAATGTCAGAGGCAGATGCTGAGCTCCCTGAGCTCAGGGAGGGCACCTGTGACTGAGTGTAGCCACTTGGACATTTCTGGGCAGGATTCTGAGTCTGGAGCCAGGGACCCATAGAAACCAGTCACTGTAGAACCCACTCCTGTGGTGTGACATCAGTATTTGGTGTCTAGTGTTCCACATGGAAGGTGCCCATGGTGGTAGTGCCTATCAAGTGGCCTGCTCCCAGTGGATCACTGTGGATGTGTAAGCCCCACCCGCCCTGTGTGCTGCTGCGTGAAGCTCTGTCAGCACAGCAAAATGAGACAAGGCAAGAACAGGTCAACCCTGCCTGCAGTGTCAGCGAAGGCTTTGTTAGCACATCTGAACTGAGCCTGGAAGGAATAGGAAGAGCTTGCTAACTCCTGTCTGGGGCAACTGTGAGTACTCCCATGGAGGGAGGTGGTCAGTTTGTGGTTCCCACTGAATGTTAGTGAATAGGTGAATGAAAGGAAGGCGAACGGCTCTGAGCTAACATGATGAGTTCATGTTTGGAAAAGTGGGGTTGGAGGGACTAGTGAGACTTCTAGTATATGGGCCAGGGCCTGAAGTAGAGACGGACCTGGAATGCCAGTAGTCATCCTAGGTGACNGTGTTTGGAAAAGGGGTTGGAGGGACTAGTGAGACTTCTAGTATATGGGCCAGGGCCTGAAGNATGTTTGGAAAAGTGGGGTTGGAGGGACTAGTGAGACTTCTAGTATATGGGCCAGGGCCTGAAGTAGAGACGGACCTGGAATGCCAGTAGTCATCCTAGGTGACTCGTTGAGTGCATGTCACCATTATTTTATTCAGTGCTCCTATCTATACACTGTGCTGTGCTGTTTTCAAGTTCAGCTCATATAAGTCTGTGAAGCGGTTACAGTTATTTTCCTCATTTTGCCCAGAGGAAACTGAGGCTCAGAGAGGTTGAGTGACTTGCCCATGGTCATATCATAAGAAGTGCAGCCAAGCCTATATCTCAGTCTGACTGGCTCCAAAGCCTCTTCTGTCTGCTCTGCTGCCTGCTGACACAGAAATGGGGCTCAGCCCCCTGAAGATGGGTGCAGCTGATGTGTGTGAAGAATTCCACTCAGTTTAGTCAGCAGTGTCCTGTTCACTCCATCCCTTAACCTGGCTTTATTATTTAATACCAGTTATCCCTGATATTGTCTTCTAGATTTATTTGCTTATTGCTTGTCTCCTTCATTAGAATGTGAGACCCAAGGGGCAGGGATTCAGCCCTATCACAGCTGTTTACTGTATTCCTAGAATCATGCCTGGCACATAGTAGTTACTCAAATATTGTCAAATCAATTATAATAATAACAATGACATGCATAGCATGTACCAAGTGGAAGCATGTAGTAACTCACTTGATCCCCAGGACTATGGNGCAGGGGTTCAGCCCTATCACAGCTGTTTACTGTATTCCTAGAATCGTGCCTGGCACATAGTAGTTACTCAAATATTGTCAAATCAATTATAGTAATAACAATGACATGCATAGTATGTACCAAGTGGAAGCATGTAGTAACTCACTTGATCCCCAGGACTATGGTTATCCCCATATTAGAAATGAGATAACAGAGGCACAGACTGGTCAAAGAACTTGCTCAGGGTTGCTCAGCCCAGAGACATGGCACAAGTATTCTCATTCAAGTACTTTGGGTCTAGAAATCAGGTCGTTAGATGCTAAGTTTTACTGCCTCTCATGAGTGAATGAATGATTAGTTAAAACAGATTTATATGAGCTATAAAAATGTACTTAGTAATGCATCTTAAAGTAAATAGTTAATAAAAATAAATTTTATAAATAATGAGGTAATATTTTCCTCTTGTTAAGAAAGGATGGTTGATGATTAAGACAGGTATCTGGAAAAATGTCTTTTTAAGAAAATAGGCTCAGATTCCTGGAACATACGGTATTATAGCATCATATATAAACTACTGGTCCATAAATAATACTGGGTTTTTAAAGCCTAGTAAATCTGTCTGATACATGTATAAAACATAAGTGTTGTATATCTCTGTTATTATCCTCATAAGATATACCTATTTCTTATGGAAGAAATTATATCAGTAAACAGATGTTAATTTTCATCATAATTTATTTGTTGGTCTAAAAGCTCAGGTGCCTAAGAGCTATATAATAGTTGGACTTTGGAAATACAGTTGAACTGAAATCAGTCCTTAAACAGGGTCAGCCTTTTAGAACTTTTGCCTTGTACTGAACAATGTCTGGGCTTTTGCCTCTAATTTAGTACTTGGACTGAACAGTGAGACTGAATCAGACCATAAACTCATGTACTGCTAGGCTTATATTTTTAATTAAGTGATGGAGAGGTTACAAATACTGGGAAGCAGCCTGTGGACAGGAGAAAACGCCAGCAGCATGGGGTTAAATGAGTTGAATTCCTTCCAGACAGAGGCAGGAAAACTAAAGTGATTCAAAACCAAATTTGCCTAATAATGAAAGTAATTTGTGATATTTTAAATGTTAATATCTGTTTTCATCCATGTTCAAATGTTGGCTTTTTTATTCATAATATTCATATTTCTAGCTAAAAATTTTTCATGACTTTCCCACTGTTTCAAGAATAATGGGCTTTCTCTACTCTCAGAGCGTTTTTACAGTGCTCAGCTCTGGAGTCGAGCCTGGTTCCCTAATGAAGATGACGAATATGTGTAACAACCAGGTGATGAGTTAGTGTTGCTTTTGGACTTGTTTGTTTTCAGTAATTATTAGCGGCTTTATTGAATATATGCCTTGGTAAGAAATATGTTCAAAGGAAGTACTGACTGAAAGTCCAGTGGGCTTTCTGAGATTAAAGTGCTTGTTAGGATATAGGTAGGTGCTAAAGATGGAAGTGGAGATTGACTTTGGTTCAACGAGACAGGTGGAGGTGACATAAAAAGTTTAAATCATTGTCAGTTTTTCATTTTCTTTCCCTTTTCTGTCATTTTCCCACACTTGATCATTTGTATTTTTAGGCCCTTTATGCTGGCCTCTGCTGTGGCATTGTTTCCCTATTGATAGGATTTTGTCTTACCTTTTACTTTTGAAGCAGCAGGGTTTGGTGCATACTCACAGCTCAAATAGAAGGCAGACGGCTGCATGAATGAGTGTTTCTGCTATAGCTTATACTTTCCCCTTGATTTTATTTGAAAACTGTTTCTCAGTCATTCATCCAAATTACATATTGAAAAAACATACTTTGCATCTAAGGTGCCTTAGGCAGGTCACATGATACCTTAAGGAGGTCTAAACCCCATGGTGGTGTTAGACTGAGAGAAAGAATAGAATGATTACAATTCCAAGTGGTAAGATCTGGGATAAGACCATTTGATGGAAAATTTTATTGTGACCTTTTAAACTATTGTATCTAAGAAGTGCTAATACACATGAGTATATGTATATCTAGGTCTTTTGCGTTCACACACAGAATATATTCATATATACATACATGAGTATGTATACACATGTACATATAGGTGTACTATATAAAACAAGAATAAAAGCTCTTGGGGGTTTTTTAGTATTATTAGTAGACAAAAATTTATTTATAAAGTGATCTTGGCTTAGTGAAGTTAAATCAAGACCAGGTTTCTGAGTGTCAGGGTAGAACGTCTTATATTTGAGACAAAGTCATTCATACCCCTGTGGAGACAGTTACTAACACAGCATCTGAGTTTTGGAAGTGTTTCTGTTTGTTGATACAGGGGTACAGAAAGCTTGATTGCCATTTTTGTGTTCACCAAGTGAAGTTCAGGCACATGATTTAGTGAGCAAAGAAGTAATGGAGATAGGAATGGTTACAATTCACCACTAATCCATAGAGTTTATTTTAGTCCAGAATTTAACTTCCCCTTTGTGCTGATGGAAACTTTTCCTGCTGCACTTTTCTTGTGACAGAAATTATTCATAAGCCTGACTTTGCATCTCTGCCAGGAAAGTGCCCTCACAGCCTTTCTGCTGACATTATCTGTCAAGGTGTAATACCTAGTGGCATCACTTACATACAGGGTGGGGCAAAAGTAGGTTTACAGTTGTTCATATGGAAAATAATAGAATAATTAATAAATAATATTACAAGAATAAACTTCTGCATACTCACAACTGTAAACCTGTTTTTGCCCACTCTGTATTTTCTATAATTAGGAAGGATAGTACTCATTTGGGAGAAAAGTTTTGAGGTTCATTCATTTTTCCTGAAAACATTTTTAAAACTAACCTATGTTTTAACTGCATTAAAGGGGTTTTAAAGCATGCATGTAATAACTTCTGTCATGTGGACATGAATATTTTAATTTTTCTGGTTCCTTGCTAGTCTCTCTTGTATGAATTTATTTTACGTTGTTGAAATCATGTGTTTTCCCATTTAACATAAAGATGTTTCCATTGTTATATAGTCTTCACTATTATAATTTCAATTGCTACATAATAGCTCATTTGCTACTTATTTTCTTATAAAACTTTTTTTTAGTGTTTACTGTTTCTTTTCTAGATAGCTCATATTAGCATGCTTCCATAATTATTTGAAATTTTTATGCAAATGTTAACTGTATTAGTTTTCTTCACACATGATATTTGTTCTTAAATAATCCCTCATGAAGATGTGTGTATATGTAAAACATTTATAGCAATTTTTTAAAAGACAGTAAAAATTACTGAATAATTTAGACTCAACAGTAGGAAAGCCCTGAATTATCTTGGGCAGCTGTTAATTTAGCCTTTAGGCTTGCTTTTTCTCTCTCACATGCCATGTTGTTAGTCTGATTTAACCTTTGATTACTGTTTATGCATTTCATATTTGTACATGGAAGTTAAAATAAATGCTACATAACATAAATAAATGAAGCTTGTTTGATATTTAACTGCAAAGATATATATTAAAACCATTCTCTTCTTAAATAATGAACTTGTATGAACTATAAGACTGATACGGAATATTACTGCACTGTATTTCTTTAGGAGCTCCCCACAGTCCTTCTGCTTCACGAGCTGTCTAAGCAGGAAGGTGCATGGACCATACTTCCACTGTTACCACAGTACGTTTAACTGGAAATGTGTCAATTCCTGACGTTTCTACCTGGACACTCGTAAGCTCCCTAGTTGTCTTGTAAGAGGGTGTTTTTATCTCGTAGCCAGTAAGTGAAGTAAATTTGAACTCTGCTTTTTATGACTACTACATTAGCTCAATTCCTTTCTAACCACTAAAGGCTTTTATTTTCAAATATGTTTCTTTTTTAAAAGAAAAAATGTCTATATATTTGATACTTATATTTGAAAATTATCTGTCTTCTGAACTGGCATTATTATGGAGAGAATTAACTTTAAGAACTCTAGCTGTTGTATAAACCATTAGCATTTGGCTTTCCTGTTTTACGAAACTTTATGTTGACAAATATAAGGAAAAAAATCTAGATTTCTTGCCATTTTATATGTCTTTCATCCATTTCCTGCCTATCAGTTTTAAACCTTATTATAAACTTGCTTTATGGAAGTGTTTACTATAGCCTGTTTCCTTTTGTCAGCTTTTCTGTAACATATAGCAGAAATTCATCATGGATTTTCTTCTGTGAAGAAGAGACAAGAATACAAGTCCCAGGACTCCTCAAAACACTCAGAAGATATGACCCCTCAAAGGTGAATATAGTGTCTATACCACTATTTTTCTTTTGGGGAAAATGCTTAAAAGAAGATTTTGACCAAGAGGTTTTTAAACTTAATAAAACACTTAATTTAAAATGAAAAAGAATGGAATAATAGTAGAATATTTGGAAGCAATGTTAAATAATTCTCTCTAAGCTTTGTAGCTTTCAGAGGGATGGAACATACAATGAGCTGTTCTTAAATGAAAAAAAAAAAAGGATCTACTTATATGTGCTAGCAGTTTCAGAAAATTAAGAAACTATAACCCAGAGTTGAGAAATGTTTCTCTTTATGAACAGTGACCATATAGTATTTTAGATAAAAAATAGTTTTTGAGTACCACTGTGATAGCAGGACAGACAGACAAGGGTCCTCACCACATAGATGGTACAGGATAGCAGGAAGACGACAGACCATTAAAGAAGCAAGTTAAAAGTGAGACTCTTTTAATAAGGAAAACGTGAGGTGCTATTAGAAGCACATAGCTGGGCATCAGATTTAATCTGGGAAGGTCACAAGTGGAAGTGACATTTCATCTGAGTCATGTAGGATGAGTAGGAGTTAACAGAAGAGAGAGTGTTCTAAGCAGTTATACTTAAGGTCTGGAGGTGAGAAGGGATGCATCTTATGTTAGAAATTCACTGCTTTCATATTTTCAAATTTTATTTTGTGAAGATAAGATGTAGCCATTGGATCTTGTTTACCTCTAAGCCCCAGCATGAGCAGAGGGTTGAACACTTAATAGGTGGTCAATAAACACTTGTGAACAAGTAAATAATCCTGTGATGTCAGCTTTCCTGCTGGGCTCTGTTCAGGGCCCCTGGAAGTGTAGAGGGCTGACTCAAGAGACATGTCAAGAATAATCAGGCTGCTCCATTCTCCTGGAGAAGCCCAGGTTACACCCTGATCACATTATAGAATTCTTTAAACTTGGAATAAACAGAATGGACCCTTTCTGATACCACTGAACACCTGCCTCACCTATGTTCTGGTGCTCACTCAGAGCTGGGCCAGCATTTAAAGATGACACCGGGAAGGAAAGGTGGCTTCTGGCTGCCTGTTTGGACTGTTGGTAATAGATGCCAAAAGTTGAGTGACAGTGAACATTAGATTTCTCAAGCACTGGAACATTTGTTACTATTATAAAACCACCAGTTTCGATGTTTAAATGCGTGAAGGATCCATTGTAATTTCTATTCATGCTTTTGCTTTCTGGGAAGATACAAATATAATTGAATGAGAAAGTTGTTAGGTTAAAAAAATAATTCCTTCAAAGGAGAGAAGAATTATGACCATATTTCAGATGATGCTAACCAGCATCTGTGTACCTTTTGCCATGTTTTATGTAAAACATTTGTTAGGTTTTTATGTTTTCTTTTGACTTGGGAAAAACTCCCAAATCTTTTTCAGGATGTAGGAGTTTTAATCTCCTCCAAGTGTTCATTTCACCTGAAGATTATTTTTCCATTATCCATAGCTCTAATTCTTTTTAGGAGATGATGACTCACTGTGCTTTTTAATGAAAATTGGAATAAATTCAAAAGTTCAAAGCAAGTTCATGAAAAGCAAGAACAGAGGAAAGTGAGATGGTTCCCCCTCTTTTCTGAACTCTGCCATGGTTGGGGGGGGGGTCTAGTATGCTTTATTTCTTTTGAAACTAACATTTAGGAATAAAAATTACATAATTTTAAAGTTAGCTCAAACCAGTGGGGTTTTTTTCCCCCCTACTATTTGAAATTTTAGGAATAAAAGTATAAAGCAAGTCTGGCTTGGATATTGACACAAATAAACTACACAAAAATAATATGATGTAATGTGGTGGAGTATAAGTGTTTGATTCTGACATTTTCCCCTTTAGTATCTTACTGTCATTCTTACTAACATAAATTTATGCTGTTGTACAATATTTTAAGTGAAAAAATTGAATCTTTATTAAAATAATTAATCTTTGTTAAATTGCCTTTCCAGGTTATTTCTATAAATTTCCATATCTTGTTGAAGCCTTTCTTTTTCCCACTGTATGCCTTTAATATAAGGATGGGTTTGCCATGTGTCTTGACTTTTTAATTATTTTGCATTATTCCACTACAGTTTTTTGACAGTATTTATAATTTTTAATGGCTATTTACAGTTTCATCTTATAAGTGTGACACAGTTTACACAAGCAATTCCTATTATTGAATGTTTAAGTTGGCATTTATATATTTAGTTTTACTTTTTTATTTTTAATGGAGCTGATACATGGGTGCTGGTAAAGAGTAATTCTAAGGTATTAGTAGAACATAGATTATCTGAGTTATTCTTTTCCAGCTTATCTGCAGTATAATTGTCTTTATTATGAAGCCATTAAGGTAACCATTAAGAAANTATCTGAGTTATTCTTTTCCAGCTTATTTGCAGTATAATTGTCTTTATTATGAAGCCATTAAGGTAACCATTAAGAAAGATGGGGGAGCCCAGCTGGGCGTGGCGCAGCAGTTGAGCACCGACCTAGGATCCAGGAGATCGAGGTTCGATTCCCGGTCAGGGCACATGCCCGGGTTGCAGGCTCAATCCCTAGTCGGGTGCGTGGGAGGCAGCCGATCAATGACTCTGTCATCACTGATGTTTCTATCTCTCTCTCTCCTCCCTTTCTCTCTCTGAAATCAATAAAGAGATATTAAAAAAAGAAAAGAAAGATAGGGAAGCCCTGGCCGGTATGACTCAGTTGGTTAAGCATTGTCCTGTGCACCAAAAGGTCGCTGGTTTGATTCCTGGTCAAGGCACGTGCCTAGGTTTCGGGCTTCATCTCTAGTAGGGGGTGTGCAGGAGGCAGCTGGTTATGTTTTTCTCTTATCTATGCTTCTCTCTCCCTCTCTCCCTTCCTGTCTCTCTGAAATCAATAAAAACATATCTAAAAAAAAAAGAAAGATGGGGGAGCGCCTCTTTCCACAGATTCTGTATTAACCTCTCTAAGTAGTTTATGGTATAGTGCCTGACAAAAATATTGAAAAACAATCTTGTATACTAGATAATAGCTGAACACTGACATTAGGAGCTAAAACATAAAAACACATTCTGCATAAAGTTCTTTTGGGAACAGGAGATTATAACAGTGAAAGATTAGTGAGGAAGGGGCTAAAATATACCAAAGTGTTTATTTTCTTTAAATAAGCTATATTGACATGGTATGTTCAATGTGATGGTTTTCATATTGGTAATTGTTTAGTAGTTTCATAAAGTGCTATGTTATTGATTTCTTTTAAATGTTGAATTTTCAAGCTGAGATCATTTGCCTTATAATTATTCCTCTTTCCCAGTGATGACTTAATATGTTTATAGACAAAATATCAAGAAGAAAGCCATCAGATGGAACTGTGAACCTAAACATGTAGGTTATGTTGCTGGCTTTCACACAGTTCATTTGACTTGCTGCTGAATTGACCAAAACTAAGACTCTGGGAGGTATTTGGGACACAACCACAGCAGAAGGAGGCTCGTAAGAAATAATACTGTATCCTTCCTGCTTTTATTTTCTGATAAGGGGTAGTGATGATGGTTGGAAAGAGAAAATATGTAAAACTATTAGAACTTAGGGTACCTGATTTAAATAACATGCTTTAGTTTCTTTTCATAGTGGGTGGTTGTTTTTTAAAGCTGTCCTGAGCTTGCTCCACTCATTAACCAAAAACTAGTGAACACCTTGAACATGTTAGGTATTCTGAGGATACAGCAGTGAGTAGAATGAACAAGAGCCCTACCAACAGGCAGCGTTTATTCTTGTTGGAGGGGAGATAAGCAATTAGCAAAAATGCAAATAATGTGTCAGATGTTCATTGGTGCTATGGAGAAAATAAAGCAGAATAAGAGGGTTAAAGGGTAGATTGGGGGGTGGACTTACTATTCTATATAGAGTGTTCAGGGAATACCCCACTGATCAGGTCACATTTGAGCAGAGCATGAAGAAACCAAGGGAATGAGCCATGTGCTTCCTACTTGTATGTCAAACTGCCTACTTAATACCTCCACTTATTTGTCTAATAGGAACCTCAAATTCAACATGTTCAAAACTGAACTCTTAATGACCCTTTAAACCCCTTCCCTCTTCAGTCTTCCCCATCTCAGAAATGGCATCACCATCTATCCAGGTGCCCATATGAAAAACCTAGGACTCATGACTAATTCCTCTTTTCCCTCAATCCTGTATTAGCATGTCCAGTTGACTCTACCTCCAGAATGCACCTCTCATGCATTTTCTCTCCATATTTAATACTACTACCCAGGTCCAAGCTTTCATCATCTCAAGAGTTTCTAGCTCACCTCCTGGTTTCTACTCTTGCCATCCTAATACTCTAGCCTCTCTATAATTCAGATGATAATCATTTATCTGCTTGAAAACTTTCAGTGATTTCCCATTCTACCTGAGATAGTTTCACGAGATACAGCATTTTTGGTTGGCCAAAGTTGTCTTCTGTCACTGTAAAGATGTTGTTCTACTGTCTTTCATATTCTGTTTTTTCTCTTGAAAAGTCTGCTGTATGTCTTGTTCTTGCTTCTTTGAAAGAAATGTGTATATCCTCCCCAACGACTTTTAAGATTTTCTCTTTATGTTTTTTCAACCACCATATACCTATGTGTAGTTTTCTTTGTATTTGTCTTTTAAAATTTTTAATTATTTTTATTGATTGATTGGTTGATTTTAGAGAGAGGAGAGAGAGAGAGAGAGAAACATTGATTTGTTGTTCCACTCACTCATGCATTCATTGGTTGATTCCTATATGTGTCCTGACTGGGGATCCAACCCACAACCTTGGCGTATCAAGATGATGCTCTAACGAACTGAGCTACCTGGCCAGGGCNTCATTGGTTGATTCCTATATGTGCCCTGACTGGGGATCCAACCCACAACCTTGGCGTATCAAGATGATGCTCTAACGAACTGAGCTACCTGGCCAGGGCCTCTTTGTATTTGTCTTGATTGAAGTTTATAAAGCTTCTGGAATCTCTTGCTTGATGACTTTTGTCAGTTTTAGAAGATCCTAAGCCTGTATTTCTACAAAAATTGTTTCCGTTTCATTCTTTTTCTGCTTCTATTCTTGGTTTTCAGTTTCATTTATTTTACACCTCTTCATGGTGTCCCATATTGCTCTTATGCTCTTTTCTGTATTTTCCTCCTTTTGATTTCTTTGTTGCATGTATCAATCTGGATATTTTTTACTGACTTGCCTTACACGTCACTAATCTCTCTTCTCTTGTGTCTAATATCCTCTTGAATTCCTAACTTCAGTTACTGTATTATTCATTTTGGGAATTTTCATTTGACTCTTGTTTGTATATTCTAGTTCTTTGGTAAAATTCTTCATCTTACCTGGCCAGCATGGCTCAGTGGTTGAGCATCAACTTATGATCCAGGAGATGGTGGTTTGATTCCTGGTCAGGGCACATGCCCGGGTTGTGGGCTCAATCTCCAGTAGGGGGCATGCAGGAAGCAGCCAGCTGATCAATGACTCTGATCATTGATGTTTCTCTCTTTCTCTCTCCCTCTCCCTTCCTCTCCCTGAAATCAGTAAAGACATATTTTTAAAAAATTATTCATCTATTTCGTTAATATATGAATCAGTTATATTTTTGATAGTTGCAAAATCTGATTTANAGGGGGCGTGCAGGAAGCAGCCAGCTGATCAATGACTCTGATCATTGATGTTTCTCTCTTTCTCTCTCCCTCTCCCTTCCTCTCCCTGAAATCAGTAAAGACATATTTTTAAAAAATTATTCATCTATTTCGTTAATATATGAATCAGTTATATTTTTGATAATTGCAAAATCTGATTTATCTGTGTGTCTCTGCTTTTTATTTTTCTCTTTGTTTTTGGTGAGGTCTTGTTTCTTGTCATGCCTGGTAATTTTTCACTAAGTGCCAGATATTTTATGTNCCTGAAATCAGTAAAGACATATTTTTAAAAAATTATTCATCTATTTCATTAATATATGAATCAGTTATATTTTTGATAGTTGCAAAATCTGATTTATCTGTGTGTCTCTGCTTTTTATTTTTCTCTTTGTTTTTGGTGAGGTCTTGTTTCTTGTCATGCCTGGTAATTTTTCAGTAAGTGCCAGATATTTTATGTGAAAAATTGAAGAGTTTGTGGATGATATCCCTTCCTACAAGAGGAATTAATGTTCTTCTGTGTTGTGGACCATGTTGTAGACCATCTTTGTCCTTACTTCTAGACCCTTCCTCTCCTGAAAAACCCTGTACTTCAGCCTGGGGCTCTGTCACACGGCTGCTGAAGTCTGCTCAGCTCTTCTTCCTCTCCACTGCTGCTTTCCACTTGCTTCTTGGTTTTTCCTTTGGCTTTAGTATNGAAAACCCTGTACTTCAGCCTGGGGCTCCGTCACACGGCTGCTGAAGTCTGTGCTCAGCTCTTCTTCCTCTCCACTGCTGCTTTCCACTTGCTTCTTGGTTTTTCCTTTGGCTTTAGTATTGAAGGAAGATTACATGTGGAATTTTGGGCTCACTTCACTGGGATCCTCTTAAATCTCTACCTTTTGGGTAGTCTCCAGCTCCAGCCTCTGTCTTAGTCCACTGAGGTTGCAGAGTCCTCAGCTGCTGCTTTCTGTGGTGTGCTCCTCTCTGCTCTGGGAATCAGCAAATTCCTGAGCATAAAACGAGGTGAATATGGGGTTTCCATGGATGGGCACCCCTTTTCTCTGGGATATTAGCCCTCACATCCTATCTGTCTTTGTTGTTTTCTAATGATCTCAATTATTTTCTTTCAGTATTTTCTCCAGCTTTTGCACTTGTCCTCAGTGGGGGGTAGGCCTGAGCCAGGCTATTCTGTTGTGGCCAGAAGTGGGAGTCTTCCATTGCATTTAGAATAAAGTCTGTGTTGCGTTCCATTGGCATGTAAAACCCACTCTTGTGTGTCTTCTGCCTCTCTCTTTTATACCTTGTTTCCTCACTCCCAGTATATTCTAGCCACACTGTAGTTCCTTGTTTCATCAAATGCATCAAACTCTTTCCCATCTCGGGGACTCTGTATTAACCGCCTTGACTGTTACTCCCCAGGTTTGTGCATAGCTGGCTCCTTGATAGTACTGCTCATCAGGTCAGTTGTCACTTCTTTCCAGGGTAGTCCCCAGTCACTCTGATATTTCCATCACAGCACATTGCAGTCACTATCTGAACTCACTATTTACTTGCCTATTTTCTCTCTCCCCACTACTGTGTTAGCTATATTCCTGTCTGGTGTGGAATCAAAGTTAAATGCTAATTGATAATAATTAATAATAAATGTTAATGGAGTGAATAAATGAATTAAATAGGCACTGATCCTGGAAGGAATTTTTCAAATTCTTTGCAAACCTGAGTGGGGCATAAGGTGAACTGTTTTCTTTGCCTTAATAGTGTTTCGATATGGAATATTCTGTAAAATACCACTTTTATATTTATGGTATAATGACTAAATTTTGTTTATCCTGATGGTATGATATTAAATTACTCTCTTTATAGACAAAGATTATACTCTGTTAATTATCATGAGTATTAATTATATTTTTGTTAAGAAAATTTAAAAATATGTAATCTGTGCTAATTCTCCATTACCTAGAATATTTAATTAACTAAAACTAACGATATGACTTTGGTTTTGGTGTGACATGAAATGTTTTTTTAAAATGACATTTTATATCTTTATTTAACAGGAATGGTTTTTAGGAAAAGCATTATGTGATGAAGAATCTACAATAATTCACCATTACGCCTTTTCTGAAAATCCTACAGTTTTTAAATATCCAGATTTTGCTGCTGGCTGGGCCCTTAGTATTCCCCTTTTAAACAAGTAAGGATTTATTAGATTTTTAAAAAATTTCACTGAGTGTTATAACTGATGGATCTCAAATGGATTTTTAGCCATAGGCAGTGTGTGGTAGAGTGGAAAGACCTGGAGGGGTTTTTTCTTCTGCTCCATCACTTACTAGTCCCCTCAGACTCATCACTCAACCTCTCTGTGCTTCCTTATTACTCACCTGCAAAATAAGGTGAATAATAAATCATGATGATGAACACACAATACAGTATACAGGCGATACATTATAGAACTATATACCTGAAACCAATATAATTTTATTATCAGTGTTACCCCAATATATTCAATAAAAATTCAAACAAACAAACAAAATAAATTGTGAGACTTAGGGAGGACACATACATGGCTCTGAGAACTCAACCCTCAGAAGTGTTATTACTGTTGTTAATGGATCTAATTAGCAATAGGTCTGACTTTGATAGTCAGTAAGAAAAGGAATCAGTAACACACCTGGGATTGGCAGTTGAATAATAGTCATGTGCGTGGGTATACATACTTAAACACGGGCCACACGGAGGGACAGGAGGCAATGTAGATAGTCTTACCTAGCTCTTTGTGTATATAATTGCAGTAATGCTTTTTTATTTATTTTTGTTATTTATTTTTGTTATTTATTTGTAGAATGCTTTTTTTAGATGTGGAAAATGAAGATAATTAAGTTGTAATTCAAGAGAAATGTGGTAGTTAACAGGCCCTTTTTAATCTGAATACTTCAGATTAATTTTTATGTGTTTTTGTTTTTTAAGGAATGGAAAGTTGATAAAGCAATTGTGGCCTTTATGTCTTCAAGGGCAAAAGGGTTTCTGTTATTTCTCACATGAAGTATGCTGTTTCTAGGGTTCAGAGTCTTGAGAAGCTTCCTAGCCTGTTGTAGGTATACAGGTAGTAGATACCTTGACATTAGTGGCTGCTTGACAACTCCCTTGATACTTGAAAATTCCTTACAGTGTAACCCCCTCTTTGACGAAATATTGTCAAGCTTAACAATATTTTCTGTTGAGAATCCAAAAATGGCATCAACAATACCCTGTATTGTTTAAGCCTTCCTTACTGCTAGGGAACAACCACGGGAGGCAGCTGCCATCAGGTAGATGACCTGTGGAAAATTCTTTTTGGGAATTGAGTTACATGGGGAAGGAGACAATGCATTTGGCTTGAGAGGTCATGATAGAGGAGGGGTCATCTGGGGCCTGGCATCTGAGAGAGTGGCTTCCTGGTGTAGCAACTTCCTGATGGAAACAGAGGCCACAATCCCTTGACCACCCATTTCTGTGGGATTGTTCTGACAATCTCTGCCTAGAGTCTTGTCTTCTGACTTTCCAGTAATACTGTGAGTCATCTATATTCCTTTATAAATGCATTTTGTGCTTAAACTTGCCACAGTGGATTCTTTTATCTTCACCTAAAAGCCTTGACCCTTGCGCCTGTCCTGAGACAGTCAAGTAAAGACACCCTGCTCCCAGTCTGCACCAGGCATGTCTAGGAGGATCCACAGTTTCCCTACTCCATTCTTAGAAGGGCTGGGGCAGAGTGCAGGGGAACTGAGAAGAGAGTTGTCTTTCTCTTAAGAGAGGGACAAGTATAGCTATAACCTGTCCTTGATGTTCTCTGAGTGCAGACAGTGCCTCTTTCCCCCAGGGCCAAAGAGGAAACCAACAGACCCACAAAGAACCTGTACAGTAAGCCCAGGATTATAACCATTTCTCTGAAGCCACCATGCTGTCCCTCTGATCCTGGAGGCCTCTCATCCTGAACCCAAATCCTACTAGTCTAGAGAGTTTCACCTTTCTTCTTCCATCCCAATTTCCCCAGCCAGCAAGGACCTTTTTGGAAACCTATTTCCATGCTGAATGCGACTCACTGTTTATTGAGTTAAGTGTAAGAAATATCTACTGTCCCTTTTTAAACCAGATGGATGGTAGTGATGTGTCTTGAACATTTCTTTGGCTCCCACTGTCCTTATACAAGATCGTTTTGTCCAGTCTGATTGCTTGCCATGCTAGCATTAAGGCATCACGTGGTCTACAAAACCTTTGGGTCTATGATTCTGCCCTCTGGCCTCACTGCTCACATGTGTAGAAGCCACCAAGCACTGGCAGGTTCCATGGCTTATCTCTTAACTACCTCATGCCACCATGTGACCAGCTGCTAGGGGCTTTGTGAGCTGGGGCTGCAGGTTCTGCACTAGCTAAGATATTCGACTCGTTATGGGGACACTTTATGTTATGATTGCCTGGCATTCTGTAGAGATAGTCCCACAGGCATGTCATTCTCTTTGTGTTTATGAAGTCATCAAAAACACTCATTGACAAGTGCCAGCTTACTCCCTTTTGGACAAGCTTAATATGTTTTCTACTGAGATTTGTGAGAAAACTGAAGTCCTCTTGTCATTGCAGTAGGATGTGTAGGGAGCTACAGCTAAGGTAATTGGGGCCAAAAAACAAATCTTTTTCACAAGTTCAGAAGATTTCTAGTACTTGCCCCATAACTATAGCATGATAGAGGAAGGGGGCACCAGTTAGCTTCCACATTGAGTGTCATCTGCCTTCACAGCACTGAACAATTACCAACAAACCATAGAATGTTTGTAGTTAATTAATACCCATGGTCTTTTCCCTGCCTTTTCTCCCTTTTTGCTTCCAGCAAAAACAAAACAAAATAAAAATGCAGACTCTACCATAGGACCAAATTCAAAATTCTACTTATTTTAGACCATATTTCCTTTTTCTCATGATACAGACAAGTAATCAAACAAACAAAATGATATAACCCATTTAGCATAGCAGCTGTCTGTGGCCTAGATACAGCTAATAGGACATTCTTATTTATTTGCAAGAAATTGGTGTTATACTTAGAACTAAAGGAAGCATAAGTACCAATTAGCTCCATCAACTGCAAAACAGGATCTTCCCAGTTGGCTTCTCCCCGTTTCAAAGTGAGTGTGCTTCCTGGGTTTCCTCCTGTTATTGGGAGCTCTATCAGTTCCCAGGCTGGATGAAGGACATTAATTACTGTACTAGGAAGGCGAGGTCTTGGTTGGTTATTGCAGGAGATCAACGGTGTTACTGAGGACCCTGGTTTTCTCTGTCTCTCCTGCTGAGTATACAGCATCAGTCAAGTCTAAATTTGGTCCCTTTTGTGGTTTCAAGGCAATATGGGCTAATGTGTTTTATTTATGTCCAGAAATACAGAACCTTTCTAACCATGGAAGTAAGTGCTTATCCTCAGTCTTTAGTTGGACCTTGTCNTTTATTTATGTCCAGGAATACAGAACCTTTCTAACCATGGAAGTAAGTGCTTATCCTCAGTCTTTAGTTGGACCTTGTCCAAGTGAAGTTTGTTGGATCAACTTCAGGCGTGTACTAACTCCTGGACTATTAACACCTGCCAGGGAATGTCAGTGCTTGGGTTGGGTTAAAACTAATTCTGACCCTGGAGTCCACTTATTGGGCTCAAGAATTAATCAAAACTGGAATCTCTTGGGAAGAAGGAAGGGGAAACTGTATTGTGTAGGCGATGGACAGCGCCCTCTACAGGAATGCTGATTCCTTCTGTCTCCTTTCCTTGACTTTCTAGCCCACTTAGTAGGTAGGACAACAATTAACAGTTACAGTTACAAAAGTCTTTCTCCAGCTGAAGTCACCAGAAAAACTGGTTAAACGTAGGCAAGACATACTTTCTTAGACTATTTCCCACCAAAACTGTTATTTGCCCTAGCGGTCTCACATCAGTGAGGTTTGAATTAACACTGTTCAACATTTCCTGGCAATCCACCTGTGGGATCTTCTAACAACAGTATCCATGAAAACATGCTTGTATCTTTGGAGAAACTCATTAATTTCCGAAAAGATGATTTCTTCAGTTAGGTGATATTACAGAAAACTGTCATTACAGTGTTATTACAGACCACAGTCACTGCCCTCTTTTGTTTTCCCACCAGCAAACCTTACCTGGATTTCCTTCAACAGCTTGCTCTGTTGACTGGCTCGCAAATGGGACTGGAAAAGTCTCATAGGAAGATTTCCTGGAATAGAGTTGAAGAGGCCCTACGTCTATTGTAGTTTCCAGTCTAGCTGGTGTGTCCTTAGAATTGTTACTGGGGCATGACTTAACACCTTCTAGGAATAAGAAAGCTAATATCAAATGTCATGTTTGACAGGAACTGAATATTTAATGAGGAAATATTTTATCTAAGCAATTGAAATTTCTGGCCTTGTTTTTTTGGTGGTGTTGGTTACTAAAATTAGCATTTAAAAATCACTTGTGCTGTCTCACTTGGTGTATAGAAAAATGAAAACTAGTTCCCACCACTAGGAACTAGTCTTTTAAGTTGGGGGAACATCCTGCACACTTTCAGAACTAAACGCGTTTGCAAGGTGACTGATTGACTTAGGCTCGGAGTGTCACGTGGTCGCATGAGGTGACCCTTCAACACAAAGTTGGTGATGTTGAGGTAGCCATCACTCCATGGGCTGCTATACACAGTTCCCCCCCAAAGAAAAAATTTCAAGAATTGAATGAGAAAGAAACTTAAAGACAAAGAGCAGATGGAACATTTAGGCTAACAATTCAGAAGTGATTACTGTCTATTAAGAAGGGGCATGTAAAGTGTGACCATCTCACAATGGGTGTCCCATGCCATTGGATTCTGGTCACAACTTTGTGTTCCTTGCCTGTGGCATGGTGTTACTTTTTCTGTCTTTTGAGTCTAAATGTGGTCTGATCAGATTTTGGAGGCAGTTGGCATGAGTCCAGTTTCCAAAGTTACCTCGATATAGTTTATTTATAAAAACTGGCTCCAAATGAGTAGAATTCAAACTGGACAAGATTCCATGCCAGGGCAGACCTTTTTTCTCTTAATGTGTATGGGAATGTGTCTGAGTCCCTTCCTGTACCCTCTCCCACTCCAACTCACAAATCTGAGGTCAGAGACTGAGCAGGAACTNAACATAGTCCCTTCCTGTACCCTCTCCCACTCCAACTCACAAATCTGAGGTCAGAGACTGAGCAGGAACTGACAGATTGCATGGGGCTTCTTTTGGAGCCAACTGCCACCAGGCTATGTTAGCATCAACCATGAGACAAATGCTCTATAACTAAACCTAAATTATAACTCTTCTTTATCTTCCCTCTAATAAAAAGTACAGTTTTGAATAAATCTTTGTGGCTTAACCAGGCTAAAAACCCAGTAAACATTTTTGAAACTTACTACTACTTTCTCTTTTAAAATCACTATTATTTCTTTATAGTTAAAATATGTATTAGGAGGTTTGTAATTGGAACTAATGGTCTTGTCTCTAGCCCTGTAATGAGTATAGAACCATATGGAATCCCAGTGGTCTTGGTAAGTATGTAATTCTACCCCCCTCAGCTTGGAATCAAAGAATATACAGCCCTTGTCTATTCAGGCTGCTCACTGGGTGCTCACTCTGGCTGGGCACAGTGGGCGCGCTGGCATCAGACGGAAGGTGGAGCACAGAGAAGGATGTGTGCACAACAGACTCTAATGCACGCGACAGAGCTAACGGGGCTGTGCTTCCTCCTCTTCCTCCTCTTCCTCCTCTGGAAGCAGAGGAAGTTTTCATTTATTCTGGTGGGGAAGCCTGGAAAGGTTTCACAGAGAAGGTGGTCTTGAGTTTGGTCTTGAAGAAAATTTGCCAAGTAAAGGCTGAGTGAGGGTTTTCAAGGCAGCCGTGCAGCAGGAGAGCAGAGCAGGCAGGAGTGTGCGCTGCGTGGGGCAGGTGGGTGCTGAGGGGTGGGGAGGTGGAGGGGCATGGAGGGGCTCCCCTGCCTCGGCCCAGGGGCTTGGGGCTTGATTCTGCATTGCAAGGAGCCATTGGATATTTTTTAAGCAAGAAAACATTTTTCTCCCACACCGCATGTACTCTTCCACTGAAATCTTCAAAAATTGTAATTCATTTGGGTTATTAAAAATTGGAGGGTCAAAAGCAGGCTTTTTGTTCTTCTATTTTTTTCTTTCTCTGTCATTATTTAGTGTAAGGATTATCAGGGGGTCAATAAACGTCAGGGCTTTTTAAAAAAGGCATTTGTTGTATTGCAGTGTATTGTATTATATTTTACGCTATTTGCCAGATGTTATAATAATGAATACTGCATTTGCAGCAAAACTTGCATTTTCACAGTTCTTTGTCTCATCTACATTAAACTCCTATTTTTATCTTAAAATTTATACTTTTGCCTGTTTTCAAACATGGGAAAGTCTCAAGAATGTTTTATTCTTGTTTGATGCTTCTTCTGGTGTAAGAAAAACCCTCAAATTGTCTCTATTTTCTAGGCTTACCAAGAGGTTAAAGAGTGAGTCCCTGAGGTCCGACTTTACAATAGATTTGAAACATGAGGTACGTCATGGTTTGTTTGGTTAAAAGTAATCAGGAATTCACGTCTTCTGTTACAAAAGATGTTCTGTATTCCCTAACAGTGCATCCTCCCCCATCGCCCCTGCATCTTCTCTCCACCAAGGGCATGCCACTCCTATCAATCCGATGGAGTTGTGTCTGCTGGCACTTGCCCGTCAGCTCCTTTCTTTGTGCTTTTGTGGTTTCTCTCTGAGTGCTCCTGCTCCTTTGGAACTTTGTCTCATAATCCTCGGAGTCCTGTGTTGAGACTCTGGCTCCTCAGTAAGGATTTGCACTTGTTCTTGCTGCCAGAGGGTTGTACTGATATGGAGCCACTTTAAGTCCCTCTGCGGTGTTTGGACCACATAAATGGCACAGTTAGGGAGGCCTAGCTTTTGGGTACAAAATCCCAGAGGAGATTTGGAGATGGTTTTCCCCTCCACCTAGCTCCAGAGTCCCAGCTCTATGTAAGGTTTGCTGTTAGACACCACACCTCAATGGGTCACAGGCTTGGAACACAGAAGAAGAGAGCAGGCAGGAGTGTGCCCTACATGGGGCAGGTGGGTACTAAGGGGCTGGGGAGGTAGAGGGGCATCCTGTGTATGCTCAAGTGTATGCTTGGAACTCAAATCAGAAACTCCACATCCCCGGGGCTCAACGGATACCTACCAGCAAAAGCTGCCCTTGGCGCCTTCTTCACAGGTTCTCACTCTTGCATTTTTGTCCTTATAAGCTCCACACTATTTTGCCAATTTAGCAATCCACTTACATTGATTTTAAAGATATTTTGTCTGCATTTTTAGATGTTTCCAGCAAGTCAGGTGGTTAGGATATGTCATTACTATACTGCAGGAAACCAGTCATGGTAATATTTTCTTTCATCTTTCTCTGTGATGTTTGAGAATCCTCAAAATACCTTCCCTACAATTGCTTATAACAACTTTGGAATTTTTTACAGTTCAGAATATTGATTCTTAGTTAATTGCTAATAAAACATAGGTCAATCCATATGGAATTACTGTTTTTGTAAGTTAAAAAAGCTGTTGAATTTTGACAAATTGACATGCTTCCATCTCATGCTGTCTATAGAAGGTGTGGTTGCTCCTCCTTGAGCTGTTTCAAACCTTCTCATACTTGCAACATTGGTTGAGTTCTTTCACTCACTGCTGGTCTCCCGTCATCTGACAGATTGCCCTCTACATCTGGGACAAAGGTGACGGCCCTCCCCTCACTCCAGTGCCTGAGCTGTGTACAGACGGTGTGGACACCCACTGTGCCACCACATTCCACTCTTTCCTACCTCTGTGTGTAAGTAATAGAAGACAAACTCCCTTGCACATCAAAGGAAAATGTACCTGCTGTGCATATGTTGTCCCAGCACTTTACATACTGGAAAAAAATCTACATTTGCTGTGTGCCAGGTAAGAACAGTACGTCATTTTCTATTAGTAACAGCCCTTTAAGGTAAGCACTGTCATCACCCCATTTTACAGAGGAAAGAGAGAGGCACTGAGGAGTCCTTGCTCGAGGTTGCACAGTGAGTGGGACAGGAAGTGAGGATGTGACCAGCACAGTCTCCCCCAGAGCCTTTGTGTGGCATTTCCTGCCAAACTCTTTGGAGTCACTTCTTTGGTTGATGGTATAGCATGCATTTATCGGAATACCTAGTCCATTTCCTAGAAAGGCAATTTCAAACATTTTCCATGATACCCAAGACTCTCCCCAGCCCATCTGGTTACTCTCTCAGCTGGCAACCCTACTTCTATCTTACCTGACACTTTGCAGAATTTCTAGAATGAACTTCCTCGTTATGGCAGACCCTCAGCCTAGTTCCAAGGATGAGCCTGAAGACCCCTGAAACTCACTCGGTTGTTACCAGTTCTTCTTATAAGGAAACATTTACTCACCACCCTCATATATTATGTTATTCTCAAGTCAGTCACACAGAAGGCATTGTGTTGCATTTTGAAAGATGAATATATGCCCCCCCTCACTGCAACAGTGGGGAGAATCTGCAGTGTTTGCTCGATTGTCGACATTATGCTTGCTTTTTCCTTAATGCTTATTCTTGGGAATCTAGGCGGGGAGGGTGACCTCCTAGTACCTTGAGTGACATGACAAAGCTGTGGTTAGATGTCACTATGTACCAGTCCCAAGTGATGTAGGAGGCATGAATTAATTTTATTGAAGGCCTAAACAGATGCTGAAGTGGCCAGAACACCCATGATGTCCCACCTTTGGGAGCAGGCTGTCCAGAGATGTCTCTCTGTGCCCCCTTTCATCTGAGTGATCAGCTGAGTGATCTCTTATTTTACACTGACATCCCCTTAGTTCTCTCCTTTTGTCAAAATCTTTACCAACCAGAAAAAGCAAAGGGAAAGTAGCTGACATTTATTGGGCACCTATGATGTGCTTAATAAAAGCAGCTTTTATTGTAATAAAAGCAGCTTTACTGGTGGTTATTTTTCCTGCTTTTTTAAATGGAAGACTGAAATTCAGAGAGAGAGCTGGAGGGACTTGTCCAGATGACATGTTGTATGAGTGGCAGAGCTGGGATCCCCAGCCCAGTCTGCCTGACATCAAAGACTTTGTTATTAGTTGAGTTCCTTTCCCCCTAAAACTTCATCCAGGAAACAGGCTTGATATCCCTGACACTGGTGCATTTGATCTCTAGAGCATGTGAGATCTGATGTGGGTATGAAGTTAAGATAATATGGACTCATATATGCATATATTTTTTCTTGTTTTTTAGGGAAATCCAATAAAGAAGGAGGATATTTTTGTTGCAGTAAAAACGTGCAAGAAATTTCATGGTGATAGAAGTATGTTTTGGGTTATTCACTTTTATTGAACTTTTAGAATCTGAATTGCCTTCTTAATAAAGTAAAACCAGATATAAACTCAAGAAAGGGATAATGACACATTTATTGTTGAAGTGAAAGCATTAATTAACTGGTATTCCTCATCGTACCACTTCAATCACCCAGAACAATTAGAAAGGACAGTTTTATATTGAAACCTGAATGGTCCTAACCCTTCTAAATACTATGTTTTAGATTGGAAATGCAATCAGCTGTTGCAATTTTGGAGACAATATGTGAATAACAATGCATTTTGCAAAACAATGTCCTGTTTTACCCATGCACTGTCTCTGAACTGTTTGAGAATATTGTAGGGGATTTCAAGATGACAGAACCAAGAAGGAATGTTTTCTTGAAGACTACGCCTTCTTTTTACATTTTTTTCAGGTGCACACAGTGGAACTTTTAAGACATGAATTTTCTCATGAGTAGATATATGAGAGAAAGGGGAAAAAGTTCCTTATAAACAGTAGTCCCTTCTTAAGGAAATTGTGGCTTACAGGTGGATGTTTTTATTCAGATTTTCTGTGTCTTTACAGAATTCTAAGACATTGACATCAATTAAAATGTGGTTATAATAAATAATGTCTTAATAGTATGTAACTATAAACCTTATGTTTACCTAAAACAGTCACCTTAAGTTCCAAGTCATATTAATTCAGCCTAAATAAATATAGCATTCATTATATAAGGAGTCCTAAAATACTATTAAAAATCAATATAGCAGTTAAAATTTTTATTTATCACAAACCTAACCTAGCTTTAATATCTTTTTGCTTTTTTCATAATCTGGAAGGGCTCTAGGATATTTGACAAATATCTTTCACAAAAAAAGTATAAAGGGAAATGAACTAGGTTGCTTTTTTTTAACAGTAAGCAGAAGTATTTGAATTAATTTGTTTTACTTGGATCTTGAAGCTGCACTGAGAGTAGTGATTGCTTTGATATTAATGTTAAGAATGGTGGTGGTGGTGGTGGTGGTGGTGCTGCTGCTGCTGCTGCTGCTGCTGCTGGTGATGATGGTAGTGGTGTCGGTGGTGGTGATGGTAGTCAAAATCTTTAAAAATTAAAGAATCTTAGAAGTCTGTTAGGAGCACTAAAACCAAACCCCCCAAAGCCAGGTGCATTGACTTGCTGCTGTTAATTTGGATCTGGGGGTCAATGAAGCCTAAAATGTATTATGAGACTTTCACAGGTGGGTTTCTGTTGCAAGCCCTCTTTAAACTTGGACTTGTTTGGAAAGATAGTCTAAGGCAGCAGGATTTTAGAGACTTCGATATCCATTTGGCTGGATGGAAGTGAAGCCTGAGACATCCCTGGGCTCTGCCTTCCTTTTGGAAGTCTAGTCTAGCCACCAGTTGTTGCAAAGAATTATCTAGTAATCATATTAGTTATAATGACAGTGCCATCGTAACTGCTTTTGACTGCTACCTTTTTTTACATTTTCTGGTATATTTTTCATATATATTCTGTCATCTAATTTCATGTTGACAATTCCTTGTAATGTGATAACTAATGCTATTCACTTGATATTGTAGAGAAAGCTGAGTATAGACAAGACACAACTGGCCCAAGTTCCTGTGGTCAGTTGAGCAGGACAGCTGGAGCTTGGGTTTTCTGGCTTCAAATCCCACATTCTTTCTACCATGGCACAGCTATACTGTGATCTCCTTGGATGTATTCCAAACCTAACACTTGATAAATAGTATTTGATATTTGTGTTGATGCTCTGCTATAGTCAAGGTCAGGTTTGACTTAGCCAGGTGCTGTGGAAGTAGCCTTTATTTTCAGCAACATTGGGGATAGCCAGGAACTGAAACCCACAGATGATCTCAAATAGAAATTAAGCAGGGAATTTAGACTGCTACTCACAAGCATATTACTGCTGTAGTTGAGCAGGATACATGGATTGGGGTCTATTTTTGTTTTTCTTTTTTCTTTCCTGTGGTAGAAACACTTGAAGTTACAAAGACCAAATGACAATGAAGGAAAATAAAACTTAGATAAGACAAATTGAGAGTGGGCTGTACTGTTAGTGAGTTATCTGGTGGCAGGTTGTCACTTGTGGGTGTGCTGGCCTCAGGGACTGAGCATAAGTGGACACTAGTGACGGCCCCCATTATTGGCTCCTTATAATGTTGGCCACCCCCAGTGAAGAGAGTGAGGGACTGGACATTCTGTCCAAGGCTCTAGTCAAGACAAGGAAAACTATACATTGAACCCTGTTTTATACTCATGGAAAAACAGAATAAAGCAAAGTTTCAAAATTTTAAAAAAGTTATTTTACCTCCTGTATTATTTTTTCCTATCAGTGAAACTGACTATTATGTAACTACTTATGTCTGGATTCTGATCTAAATGAAAAAAAAAAAAAAAATTCTTTAAGACACAGTCAGCAAAAGTATATTTTGTCTTTTAGCTTAAGTAAGAAATATATGTTTGACACCATTAAAACTGCAACACTGTCTGAGATAGAAGTACTTAGTAGGGTTTTAAGAAGCTTTATAAGAATTATATAAAGCAAGGAAATTGGGCATAGCATGTCAGATTATATGTAAGCAAGGAGATCGCTGGAATTTAATATTCAGAGTGATCACTTCTTCTTGGGTTAGTGTTCTTCACTGTGTGATGTGAGCTGTCAGAAAATGTGAAGACTTTTCTTTGCATCACTTGACCTTTATGCATGTCTCAGGTATCTCAGAGTAGCCATGGTTCATGTTCATCATATGGTGATTGTGGGATGCCCTCATGCTGTCTCCCTCTAATTAAAGAGGTTAAATTGCTATTTGCTCAGCCTTTAGTTCCATTTTACAACTTCCTGAGCTCCTAAAAATAAAGACTATTATTTTTAGGTTAAAAAACACCCATTTGATATCTTTACTGCAGTTATCTTATCTAGAAGAGGCAGATCTGAACAAACTTATTAAAAGGAATGTGTGATAGCTGTGATCTCTGATTATAGAGGCTGAAAGGTGCTGCCCTACAATCTGCTTATTTAAAATATGAGGCTTGGAGTAAAATGTAGCAAGGGGCAAGGCTACACCCAGTGTTAAGTGGAATGATTAGATTAATTATTAAAGGGAGGAAATGAGTCAAGTGTTGCCTCGTTCAGTTCTCCCCTGGATTTGGAACAGATGAAGATACCCCAGATTGCCCTAAAATGTTTCAGATCAGCCATGAGGGATGCTTTTCAGTCTTCCATCTACCCCAGCTCTATAATCAGGAATTAAAGCACAGTCTAGGCAGGTGTCTCTGATTTTGTGGTCATTGACTTGCATACTGAGACACTAATCTTCTGTTTGTCAAAAACAGCAGATTTCATAAAATCAAGAATCATTGGGGAGATCCAAGATGGCAGGGGATTTAGTGGAAGCTACACTGATACTCTCCCAGGACCAAACTGGAATTACAGCTAAAATACAGAAAACCCACCAAGAATAATCAACTGCAACTGAAGACTAGCTGGGGAGCAACCTCATAACCAAGGAGGAAAAGTGGAGACCACATAGAGACTAATAGGAAGCGCAGAGGTGTGAGAGGGCTGGCCAGGCTCCCACAGGCAGCAACTGAAGGTCCAGAGGGATATCTCAGCTGTGAGGGGTTCCCACTGAGAACTCTGGGGTCTAAACCCCAAGCTGGGCTTTCCAGATCAGAGCAACAGAACTTAGAAAGATACCCATGTAACATCTGGCTGTGAAAAGCAGCAAGGTTTCTGTCTGCCAAGGAGAGACAGCTAGAAATGCAGGCACCCTCTTAAAGGGCCAACACACAAAGTTTCATGTGCAGCCACTCACCTTGGGCTCCAGTGGAGGCAGAGTAGACTAGAGCAGTGTGAGGAGAATTCATGGGGGCTGGCTGAGGGAATAGATCTCAGAGGGCTTCCATCTGGATCTTGGTGCTGAGTCATTCCCCCATAGTGCAGAGAACATCTTTCTCAGGCAGAAATTTACCTTCTGAGTATTTTTTGCCTTGAGGGGGGGAAGCAATTGCCCCACCCTGCTGGAAAACCTCTGGCCCCACTCAATGTAGTTTCTACAGCCTGAGGCTCCTTAAGAGACTTACAACAATCAGCTGCCCCACTTTGTATAGGTTCTATAGCCTGAGGCTCATTAAGAGACTGAATAACAGCCTCTGGGTGCTTTGAATATTTGCCTGATTTGCTTCTGGACCCAGGATTGGAAAAGCAGACCTTTGTGCATATATTGGTCCTGTCCAAACATGCCCAGGAAACCAGAAGCTGTAGAGTATAGGAAACTTCAAATAGTGTACTCAACGCCAGTCACAAAGAGCATCTGACATTGGCCTGCACCAGAGACCATCCAAAAGGCTGGGAGTCCTAGCAGATCCACATAGAAACAAACCCAAATAGGCAGCCAAAATGGGGAGACAAAAAAACAAGACCGAAATAACAGAACAAAAGAATTCTCCAGAAAAAGAGCTAAATGAAATGGAGAAAAGCAATCTATCAGGTATAGAGTTCAGAATACTGATCATAAAGATGCCCAACATCATGCAAAAAGATATAGAAACTATGAAGGAAATTAAGAATGACATAGTAGAAATAAATAAATTAAAAAAACATTGGAAGGAATGGACAACAGATTAGAGGAAGCTCAGGATCGGATCAGCAAATTAGAAGACAGAGTAGAAAAAAATCATTCAATCAGAGACCCAAAAAGAAAAAACAATTAAAAACCAGGAGGACAATTTAAGGGAGATGTGGGACAGCATGAAATGTAACAATATTCTCATCATAGGAGTGCCAGAGGAGCTTGAAAGTAAGCAAGGGTTAGAGAACCTGTTTGAAGAAATAATGACAGAAAACTTCCCTAACCTGGTGAAGGAAAAAGTCACACAAGTTCAGGAGTCCCAAGCAAGAAGAACCCAAAGAGGCCCATGCCCAGACACATCATAATTAAAATGCGAAAAATTCAAGACAAAGAGAGAATCTTAAAGACAGCAAGAGAAAAGCAAGCTTTTACCTAAAAAGGAACTCGCATAATGCTGTCAGCTGATTTCTTATCAGGAATTTTACAGGCCAGAAGGAAATGGCATGAAGTATTCAAGGTAATGCTAAACAAGGATCTGAAATCAAGAGGACTCTATTCAGCAAGGCTATCAGTCAAAATAGATGGTGAAATAAAGAGTTTTCCAGCCAAAAAATGGCTAAAGGAATTTATCACCACCAAACCAGCATTACAAGAAGTGTTAAAGGGACTACTGTAATAAGTTGAAATAGAGAGAATGAGAAACATAGGCATAAAGAAATGAAACGGCAGTAGATAAGTACCTATCAATAATAGGCTTAAATGTAAATTGATTCAGTGCTCCAATCAAAAGACACAGGGTAGCTGAATGGATAAGAAAAAATATTACCCAAATATATGCTGTCTACAAGAGACCCACCTCAGAACAAAAGACTCACACAGGCTGGAAAAAAAAGAAGAAACTTCTGGAAGTCTTTAAAGGAAAAATCAATGGCGATACAGTCGTAGTAGGGGACTTTAACACTCCACTGACTTTACTGGATAGGACTTCCAGACAAAAAATTAGCAAGGAAACAATGACTCTAAATGACACACTAGATCAGATGGATTTAATTAACATTTACAGAACATTCCACTCCAGAGCTACAGAATATACATTCTCCTCAAGTGCACATGGGACATTCTCAAAGATAGACCACATATTAGGACACAAAACAAGCNGTCTCAAAGATAGCCCACATATTAGGACACAAAACAAGTCTCTACAAATTCAAGAAGATTAAANAGATTGAAATAATATCAAGCACCTTCTTGGACATTTACACCGTGGAATACTATGCAGCTGTAAAAACAAAAGGTCCCTTACTCTTTGGGACAGCATGGTGGGACCTGGAGCGTATTATGCTAAGTGAAATAAGCCAGCCAGGAGAAGACAAGTATCACATGATCTTACTCATATGTGGAATCTAATGAGCAAAATAAACCTATGAACAAAATAGATCCAGTGGCAGAAACATGGAACAGACTGACGAATCTCAGAGGGAAGGCGGGGTGGGTAGGTGGGGAGAGATTAACATAGGAATTTATACATATATGTGCATAACCAATGGACACAGACAATAGTGGGGTGAAGGCCTAGGGGGAAGGGTTGGGGAAGGGTACAGCAGGGAGGGGATCAATGGGGTAAAAAAGAGGACATTTGTAATACTTTCAACAGTAAAGATAAATTTTTAAAAAATCATTCACAGTTGTTTGTGTGGTTGTTTTTGTATTGTATTCAAGCGTCATGTTCATTTTCATTTGGAATCAGAGTTTCACAGGTAAATTCACCCAGAGTATAAATGTGTGCCCCTTGCCTCATATCAAGACACAGTCCTCCTGGGCAGTGGGGTTTTATTATAATCTAACTTTTACCTTGCTCCAATTTTAAGTTATCTTTTGGCAAACCTTGAAAGAGGCATTCACTGTTTGGAAAATGCTATAGAAAGTATGCTTCTCTTTATTGAAGATGAAATATTAGATCATGTAACTATTTTGAAATATTTTTTGACATTTAATATCTTTAAGAATGCACTGCCTGAATACCATATAAAATATTTTATAATAATAGAATGAATTCAATTTAGAATTCAAATAACACTAATAAAATAGACCAATATTTTTAAGTGTTAAGTAATTTAGAATCAACCCTAATTAAAAATAAAGCCTTAACCTGCTGTTATACAAAACTTAGCCTTAGCTTGAAATTCTTTGTAGTTGATACATAGGACAAATCCACAGGAGTTATAGTGACAGATAAAGNTTTGTATAACCTGCTGTTATACAAAACTTAGCCTTAGCTTGAAATTCTTTGTAGTTGATACATAGGACAAATCCACAGGAGTTATAGTGACAGATAAAGTGTTNGCCTTAACCTGCTGTTATACAAAACTTAGCCTTAGCTTGAAATTCTTTGTAGTTGATACATAGGACAAATCCACAGGAGTTATAGTGACAGATAAAGTGTTGAATGCTTTTAGTATTGTAGAATCATAACACCTCATTATAGTAAAATGGTTAGTTTATTTTTAAATGATTGGTAACAGTGGTACCATTTTGTACCAAATGATGAATTGCTGTTATGAATAAAACTTTCCTTTAAACTAGTTCCAAAAATAGCCCTAGGCCTCCTGTTGGAATTTCTAGAAAATTCAGTCCTCATTTAACTATTTATTGAGTACATCCCAGGCACTGTGCTAGGTGTTGGGGAACCAGTCATACAGTAATTCTGACCTTTAATGAAATTTGTTTCAACTGAAAACAAGTAGTTAGGTATAGCAAAGAGCTAACTCACACTCAATTTTGATTTTAATTTAATTTAAATCAACTAATTGAGAAGAAATACCTGTGCTGTTTAATAAGGCTTATTAGAGCCAACAGGAACTGATGGCTAAGGGCTGAGAAAAATGGAAGCTTGTAAGACCCAGTGCTGGGCACTGAGGAAAATTCTTGACCTTTCCAGCCTTATGCATTGGGGAACATTTTATCTTAGAGTGGGGCATTTAGTGGCTGCAAGCTGCAGGGAGCCCTTTCTGGGTTAAGTCCTGCTCATTATGTGCAAAGCAGACTGCCAGTGCAATGTCAAGGTGAAGATTTTTGTTGTGCTGGAATTTGGAAGTAAAACAGTGCGGTTTGTTTTTTCCATAGCAACCTTATCATTTACTGCATCTTTATTTTGACATGGAGAAATCTTTGTATCTGCCTTTTTTTATAATTGCAGAAAATTATATTTTAATGTATAAAAACAATTTTTAGTTGGTTAGAATAGGTAATTTGGAGCTTATTATATAGCAAATATCCAGAATTCATAGGTCTGTTTCTTAAAGCAGATGAATTATGGACTACAAAGTGGTGCCCTGTTGTATTTTATGCACAAAGACTATATGAGTTTGACTCTGAGTTTGTTGACTTACATAGCTAAACATTTAAATTTGGCATTGCATTGGCAGTTTTTGCATATAATTTATTTTTACTTGGGCCTGGAAAAAGGAAAAGATCTGATAACATCTCAGTATATTGGCCTGAAGATTTGGTTCATCAGAGATGAGATTCTTAAATTAACAGGGTGTAAAATCTAGATAGGATGGCTTTTTCTATCAAAACTACAACAGAAGTCCCTTATTCTCCTTACCATTTAGAGAAGCACAGACAGTAACTTAAACACACACACAGAAGCAAATAATTACTCAGATAGTTGGTCAAGTGAATGACTATCAAATAGCAATCAGGCAGAATTCTATGTCAGGTGTGGATACAGAGCTGCCTTTAACATCTCACCCTAAAATACAGAAAGCTAGGAAAGGTTTTTGTTGTTTGTGTTTATTGTATTAAACAATTTATGTGTTAATGGTTCTCAATCTCTTATTTCACATTTTTCAAAAATACAACAATAATATCAGTCATTATATGTAGTGATTCCAAATGGTAGGGTCATGCCCTTCATAGAGTTGGGTGGTCCTAATGGAATCTTTGGGTGGGAACAATGTAGTTTGAAAAGATAACCCCTCCACCACCATTTTAAGAGACAAAATTGCATTTCAGTCAGAGCCACAACGACTATTCTCATCTTTGGAAGTAATTATATTCCCCACCTCCCTAAAAAGCTTTTTAAAAATCCAGTTGTGAATTTTAAATGAACTCTATTGGGAAAAGAGAAAAATTAGTTAAAATTAACTCAAATGCAACAACAGTATAATCAGATTGTTGATTATGTACCAATTAAACACAATAAGTATAATCAGAAGATGCATCATTATATGGAAGCAAGTGTATTTATCACCAGGAATGCAAAGTGCTTGGCTCTAGAGTATATTGAAAGTGGCTCAGGAAGAGGGTTTTATTCATGTGCATTTGGTATTTCGAGGGGTAGAAAAGCGAGCTCTAAAGCTTGGAACACCTGCAAAAGAACAAGTAATGGTTCTCTTTCTTTATAGGGGATTGTGCTGCCCTTTGAGATTCCAAGCTTCTCTACATAACTCTACCAGTGACTATTGCTTCTCTCATTTTTTCAGTCCCCATTGTAAAGCAGACTTGGGCGAGTCAGGCCAGTCTCATTGAGTACTATAGTGACTACGTAGAAAGTTCCATTCCTACAGTGGATCTGGGAATTCCTAATACAGACAGAGGTGAGTCCTTCATTTCTACCACTCCTCTTGCTCAGAATGTCCATTCTGTAAATAGAGAAAATTCAACTAGTAATAAAATGAAATATCTTATAGATGCTATAATTTTGCCTTATATAAATTTTTTTCTTTCTCTCTTTTCAACATCTTTACCCATGGATATAGGCTGATTTTTTTCAGATTAAGCACTATAAGTACTAAAACAGGTTATAAGTTCTTAGTAAGCCATATTGATATGACTGAGCACATGACAATTATGATCAAGTTTAACAATACATTTTTCATACCTTCACAATCATTGTGGTTCAACTGGGATGTTCAAAGTGAATTTATCATCTTTCCATCAAAGCTTCTCCTCATTTAATTTTAACAATTTAACCAGCCAGGATGTTATCTAAACTGCTGTATACCAGCCTCTGTTAGATGCCGGGGCAAGTAGGAATGAAGCTGACACTCTATCACCAGGAAGCTTATGGTCTGAGCTTGTTTTGTGTGTATCTTTAAGTAGCACTTAATCACATTCCATACTGGTTTGTTTATTTATATATATATGTGTGTATGTATATATATATATATATATATACACATACATATGTGTATATATATATATATAAATGTTGGAAGTACACTNAATGTATATATATGTATATATATGTATATATATGTATATATATATACATATGTGTATATATACAAATGTATATATATGTATATATATATGTATATATATATACATATGTGTATATATATATATATAAATGTTGGAAGTACACTAGGTTTTCTCTTGAAATTGCAGGCTTTCTAATTAAAAACATTTTTTATATAAAAAATGTAAGTAGACCTTTGGCTACCTCATCTTCAGGTGCTCTGTGTTCATCTTAATTTTTATCCAGTGTTCCTGCTACATTTAAAATTTAGTTNAACCTTTGGCTACCTCATTTCAGGTGCTCTATGTTCATCTTAATTTTTATCCAGTGTTCCTGCTACATTTAAAATTTAGTTTTCTGGTTTCCCAAGCCCATTTATGAATAAAAAATTAAAGTAGTAAGTTAATTGTCTAGTTCTATAGAGTCATTTATCTTGTGTCATGGTAATGTCACTCATAATGCCTTGATTGATAAGTACTATGTTGAATCAGATACGCTGTTCCTGTAGTTATCAGTTCTTCTGACAAGGTTAAATGTATTACTGAGTTTGTTATTGTCTGTTTTGGAAAAATTATTTTAGATGAATTTTTTTTTTTTTTTATAATCTTGCTTTTTAGACTTTTATTTAGGTTGTCTTTAATAATCATTTATGCATTCCTTACTGGATTTCTTATTTTATTATTAGTCCAACATTATTGTTCATATTTATATTCTACTTTATTCTAAAATAAATTTGAGATAACTTTCAAAATACATACCAAAATGGTTAAAAATACAGAAAGAGATTAAGAATAACAAAAATAAAGGTCAAATTGAATGGTTTAATATTAATATTAGCTTGTTCTCTATCGGTCACCAAATACATTGTTAAAATGAAGGGCATCTTTCTATTTATCAACTTGGGTTCTCTTCCCAAGCATTTTATTCTTATCGTGGCCCCAGCATTTTCCAATACACATTGACATGTATCTGGTGGTCCCAAAGCCTGTGACTGTCTTAGTCAGACTGTATCTTTTTTTTATATATATATATCTTTATTGATTTCAGAGAGAGGAAAGGAGAGGGAGAGACAGAGATAGAAACATCAATGATGAGAGAGTCATTGATCGAGCCCTCAACCCGGGCATGTGCCCTGACTGGGAATCGAACCCCAATCACCTGGATCCAAGGTCGACGCTCAACCACTGAGCCACACCCGGCCGGGTGGTCAGACTGTATTTTTAGTGCATAGTNTCGACGCTCAACCACTGAGCCACGCCCGGCCGGGTGGTCAGACTGTATTTTTGGTGCATAGTGTAGAACCTGCCACAATATCCAGCATATTAAAACTTAACAGCAAGTATTTACAAAGTGAATGAAGGTATAGAATTCCACTTTTGCACCACTGTTTCCCCATGGTTGTGATACTTAAGGTTCTAACAATTGCTTCAGAATAAGTATATGTAAGGATAGATGCCAGGCTTTTGTAATTTCTTTGAGGTTTATAACTTTCTTTTTTTTAGAGTGAAGGTACAAGTCCTGTCTTTACCTCAAGTTAGCCATGTGACCTTATATAATCCTCTCATCTCTCTCTAGTCTTCATTTCCTCATGTGTGAAATGAATGGCTTAGACTTCATGATCTCTAAAGTTCCTTCTGGTTCGCTATGTCAGTGAAAATTAGAAGAGGCTAATTTTTAAAATTTCAAATTATTAAGGCACATGCCAACATTTAAGCTCTTTATTTTAAAAACTCTAAAACTAAAAAAATGTTTTTAAATGATTTATATATATTTTAAAGAAAATAATACATTCTAAGTTTTCCTTTTGCCTTTCCTAGGTCATTGTGGAAAGACATTTGCCATTTTGGAAAGATTTTTTAATCATAGCCATGACAAAATAGCATGGTTAGTCATTGTGGATGATGATACATTAATAAGGTAAGGGGTCATTTTCATCCCAGGATGACTTCAAATTCTGCATATATTCATATTTAGAAACTATGATGGGTACTTCTGCATCTGGCCAAGATGTGATAACAGGGACTGAATTTACTCTCACAATTGAAACAATCCCCTGTAGGAACAAAATATATGAAATGAAGATTTTAAAAAATGCGTTCTATTGATTTTTAGAGAGAGATGAAAGGAGAGGGAGAGACAGAGGAAGACATTGATGTGAGATAGAAACATCAGTCAGTTGCCTCCTGCAGGTGCCCAGACTGGGTATCAAACCCACAACCTGAGCATGTACCTTGACCTGGAATTGAAACAGCAAGCTTAAGGTGCATGGTATGATGCTCAACCAACTGAGCCACACTGGCCAGGGTGAAATGGGGATTTTAAAGACAATGAACATTAGGCAACAAAGGACAATGATAGATGAGACGCAGCAGCAAATGAGGTGAGTCCTATGACTGCCCCAACTAGATTCCCTATGAAAGTGTCCAAGGGACGGAAACTCAGGTAGAACCTGGCCAACTCTTTCAGTTGAAGAGATAAAGGTGAAAGTCTGGGAGACCAAGGCCACTAGAGTTTGTGGGACAGAGCACTGCAAAGAACAGAGCTGCACAGAAAGAGAACACAGGAGATCTGTGGAAGCACCCCGTAAATATTGATCAGCACTGTATTTGAGGAAACTGCTGGAGGCTGGGGAAAGAACCTACCAAAATAACTAGAAGGAATGGTGCCTGACACTCACACAGGGCTGAGTATATACCTGTTCACACCAGTTAGCCTGTAATACCCTTGCTTCATGAGGTACTGGATAGAGCATGTAGAGGGTCTTCCTCTAATAGTTGGAAATAGTTAACCTGGGACTAAGCACTGCTCCAGTCCTGCCTGACACATCTTAAAAGCAAGATCCTAAAAGACCAAACTGTTTCCAAGTTATAAGCTCATATCCAAGAACAAACTCAAGAGGATTTATAGAAATACCAAAATATCCAGCACCCAGAAAGATTCACAATGCCTGACATCCAATCAAAAGTTACTAGATACACAATGTAGCGGGAAAATTCACCCATAGCAAAGAGAAAACTAAGTTGGTTGAAATTGTCCCAGGAATGATACAATGTTACAGTGTTAGAATTAGTGGTTTGTAAGTTATCACTAATAAATTGTTATAACTTCATTCCTTACGTTCAAAAAAGAAACATGGAAAGTATACGTAAGACTGAAATCAAACTTCTAGAGATGAAAGCTACATTGCCTGGGTGAAAAACCCACTGGATGGGATTAACAGCAGATTAGACATTGCAGATATCTTGGGGACACTGCAACAGTAACTATCCAAATGAAACACAAAGATAAAAAATAATTTTAAACAAGTGAACAGAGCATCCCTGAGCTGTGAGACAATTCCAGGTGACCTTGTATATATGCAACTGGAGTCCTCCAAGGAGAAGGTGCACATGACAGATATTTAAATACATACTTTCCAAATTTGATGAAAATGCTAAACCCACTAATCCAAGAAGCTCAGTGAACTCCAGGCATAACTGTCAGCATCAAAGTTGCTCATGGCCACCTTCATGCTGTGTCCTTGTCAACAGCATCTCATGCAGCATTTACTGCATCTGTAACATGCCATCAGTCTTCAGGACAGTTACTCCACCTGGAAGTTTTGCCAGATCTTCATTTAGTGTTTCTTTTTTTTTTTTTCATATTTACTAGCAATAATACCTAATGGTGTCTTAAATGTGTTTTTGAGGTGAACCTTGTCACCTTTTTCTTTCAAGACTCTGACATCATCCTTGATTGCCATGAACTCTAACTTTTCTGAAGTCATGAGGCTGAATAATTGCAAGATTTAGGGTCAGTCCACTTGGATAGAATTGGAGATCGGTTGGCATTTGCTACATTTCCAGTTTATAGCCAATATGAAGGATGTGATAGTTTTCAGACTCAGTTTATGATTCTTCAGCTTTAAGATGATATTTTGACTATGGAAATGGTTAATGCCATCAGGAAAAGAAACCCAGAGGAGATGCTAATGTGTTATTTTAACCTCAGAAATTGAAGGTTGAGGGTTTGAATTGATCATTTCACAATATGCAGGAGGAAAAGAAGTACTTTTCATTTCTTCTCTGGTCAAGAAAAAGACATGCATTTGCCCCAGAGGGCTTTGAGTTTTACGGGGTCTGTTACCAACCAAAGGCTGTGATTTCCTTAGGGACCTTTAAGTTCATTCTCCATAACTGAGTGGTGTTTTATAGGCACCCACACACTTACTAGCCTTCCCCTGCAGAGCTATTTATTAAACGACTTCTTCAAGACAGATTCCAAATTAGCTACCTAGAACATTTAACTTGTATGCCAAACACAGGATCATTTCCAAAGATAACATTTTTTGGCCTTCAGAAATTGTCAACATTGTCAAAGGCCTTGACTTTCAGACAGTTATAAACCTGATCAGAAGACTTGTAGACTCTCAGTACCACAGTCTTGAGAGAGTTTTTTCATACATTAAATTTGTTCTCTTCACTCTCAGCCTTAGCTCTATGAGCTGGGGTATTTTTGTAAGTGGCATGAGTATGGATAGAAAAGATGACTTCCTCTTCTGCGTCTCTATTTTGTTTTCTCAGGACCCCACCTTCCCCCTCAAAAGAAAGAAAAAACAAGACACTAGAACTCTAGTGTTTTAAATGTTAATACTGTCCTATGAAAACAATACATAATAAATAATTTAGAGAAACGCTATCACATCCATCTTTTGGAGATGAGATGAATCACAGGCTTGAGAAACACTGACATTTATTTAGCCAATTAAGAAAACGTAATCCAGAAGGAGAGACAGAGCCTGATGGAGACAAGCTTCCTCTGCAAAGTTTTGTCTGTGGCCACTCACCCTGAGCTCCAGAGGAGGGGACGCAGTGCAGACTGGAGTCGCCTGAAGAGTCTGTGGTTTGTGGCTTGGGAGGGAGATGTGGGGGAGCAGCCTCTGAAATGCCTGTACTGGGTCATCCTCCTATACTGCAGCAGTCATCTTTGCTGAGCGGTGCAACCCCCTCCAAGTAGCGCAGCCTGGGGAAAACCTGTTACTTCAGGAATCCCATTCACTCCACTGTGCATCTTAAGTTCTGCTGAGGAGTCAGCGGCATAGGTGGGAGGGGAAAGGCCTGGGCAGACTCAGTGTGTGTCAGTGACTGGAATTGGAGCTGGTCCATTCCCCCACTTTCTCATGAACCGGACTGACACTTCCCCCTCATGGGAGACCTGGTAGGAACACCCTCCTGGCCTCTAGCACATTCAACCTTTGGGCTCCAGAGGCCCCACCTACCTGGCTACTAGGATCTACCCTGCCAGGGTCAGGGAAAAACCCGTGACAGACTGAGACATGTGGTTCTGGGGTGGGCGATTACACCTACCATCTTTCCTGAAGTCTGAATACTTCTTAATGGGAGATCCAATAGACCCACCCTCCCGATTCTGCCAGAGACTAAGCTCTTTCAGAGACTAAGCACTTTCAGTGACTAAGTTTAACAGCTGGCAAGTGGAGGCAGTCAGAGGCGGACCCCAGGGTGACTTGAGACTTTTGCTGACCCACCCCTATGCCCAGTGCTGGTAAAAGTCGGCCTTAGAGCACAGCTTGGCTCTTCTCATGTGCAGCCAATGCCATAAAGGCAGCCACAAGCTGTGCATCGTGTGTAGCCTCAAACAGGTTGTTCAGGGCCAGACATAGCATCCAACATTGGTATACACCAGAGCTTCTCCAAAGATGCTCAGAACCAACTCACCAAGTGCCCAGCTTCAGGCAACATTGGAGCAGGATCCAACAAGTGTCACAAACAGCAAATCCAAAGGGAGACCACAGCAGGCACAGCTCTGCTGAGGCAAACTGCACTTTTTATTCTTTTCTTTCTTTTCTTTTCTATACATCTTTGTTTATCTTATTACTTTGAATTTTTTGGATTTTTTTNTCTTTCTTTTCTCTTCTATACATCTTTGTTTATCTTATTACTTTGAATTTTTTGGATTTTTTTTTTCTTTTTCTTTCTCCTTTTTTTACTCTATTTGCTGTTTAATTTTTGTATTCTTTTGTTTCTGTTTCTCTTTTCTTATTCTTTATTATTTTCCTTTTTATTTTCGTATTCTTTTTTCTTTTCCTTTTCTACTTTTCCTTTTTCCTTAGTATAGTTAACTTTTTTTATTTGTTTTTTTTATTATTATTATTATTATTACTTTAATTTTGTTGCTTTTGTGGGTTTTTTGTTTTATGTTTTGTCAGCACCTGTACAGCAGCTTGTATGTTGTGGTAGGAACTGATCCTCTCAGTCAGCCAGCCTGAGGGTAAATGCCACCCACAAATGAGCCAACAGCAATCAAGACCCAATTACAACAGGAGTGCCCACATAACCCACAAAAGGGCATTCCTAGAGCATCCAGCTCAGGAGATCAAGGAGACTGAACCACTGGGTTCCACAGGTCACATACTACATAAGGCCACCCCACCAAGACTTGGGGGGAGTCATAACAATTCTATCTAATATGTAGAAACAAATACAAAGAGATAGCTAAACGGGGAGACAAAAAAACCCCAACAAGCTCCAGAAGAAAGAACAGGAGAAATCTCCAGAAAAAGAACTAAATGAAATAGAGGCAAGCACTTTATCAGAAACAGAGTTCAAAGTAATGGTTTTAAGAATGCTCAACAGCATGAAAAAGGACATAGAGTCCATGAAAAATAATATCAGAAATGAAGAATACTATATGTGAAGTAAAGAATACACTGGGACGAATAAACAGGCTGGATTAAGCAGACAATCAGATCAGCTATTTGGAAGACAAGGTAGAAAAAACTCACCCAATGAGAGCAGCAAAAAGAAAAAATAATTTAGAAAATTGAGGATATTTTTAAGGAAAATTTGGGACAACATAAAATGTAGTAACATAAGCATCATGGGGGTACCAGAAGGAAAAGAAAGTGAGCAAGGGATAGA